TTTTGGTTGAGAAATTAAGATAAATTTCTACAGTTCCAGCTTACGGTTTTAGACATGGATAAACACCACAGTTCAAATGTGTAACTACCTCTTAGTGGATATGTTTAATATATCATTTCAGATGCACCGATCCATTCACTAAAGACACTAAAAATGTCAGCATATCACATGATGTAAATTTTAAAGGAAGCAAACTCACTTCCTGCACATCCATAATCCTGCATTCAGCATCATCAAGTTGAATCTTAATTTCTTGCTCCACTTGCGACAGAGATTTTCGGTGGGCTGCTCCTAAGGGTACATAGGAATTGTAAAAGTCAGAATTGTCAAAGTCAGCAAAGCAAGTGTTATATTGTAGTATACCAATTAAGTTCATTTAAAATATGCACTGATTGTGTATCCTTGCTCTTTAATTCATCTCAAGGACAAGTGCTACAAAAGAAAATGCAGCAAAGAAAACAAGCAGACTATGCTAGAGGCCCAATTAAGATGTTCATTCAATTATTTCTAGATCAAGGAACAACCAGAAATTCCAAGAACAAAGTTCCACATCATAAGAGCACGTATGTCAAGGTCAGATGCTTATTTTGTGCAGGATACTAAAATTCAAATAGATAATATAAAAACTTATGTACATTATTGATTAGAAAGGCATATGAGAAATTAGTCAGGAATATGTTATTAACATTAGAGATTATTTTCGGATATAGAATCATACTTTGTCTTTCCACATATTTTTTGAACTCGATCTCATGCTCTTCTAGATCTTCGATCATGCCACCATAATCCTGAAGGTGCTGGCCAATCTCTTCTTTAAATTTATTACATATTCCAAGCAATTGATCATGTTTCTCTGCAAAGACAGCATTTATTAATTCATCAAGAAATGGCTGCCGAAGGCAAATTCTTCCTGGATGATCCGGTTGCTATGCAAAGATGGACATTTAATGCATCAAGATGCCAAAGGAACTAAACCAAATCTTTCCTGGAAGTAGAAAAATAGTAGATGTGTTGACAATTAACTAAGTAAAAGCCATAATTTCTAGGAGGGAGTCAGAATGGTTAACAATTAATTGGCTGTGTGGTCATGATTTATGGGTTGAACAAATCATCTGTAGCAACTCCTCTTATTTTGATTCTTGTCAATGAGTTTTCAGTTCTTTCGTAAACATTCAGTTCGGACCAAAAGCTGTGGCTGGGCTTCCATAACCACCATTCTTCAAAAGCATAGCGGTTTGGCTGAAATTCGCCACGCCGTACTTCCATGGCAACGCAATGGCCGCCATTTGATGACACAGACCACTCTCTGGGTTAACACTCTTGTTTCAGCAAGCACATAAAACCAAGACGCAGTCCAGTGGCTAAAAGAACAGCTTCATGCTGGCAGGCATGAAGCTTCGTGACTTTTGCAAAAAGCATTCTAAGCTTATATTTGGCATGCTTAAAAAGTATTTAGTATCAATTGGTTACCCAATCAAGTTATAAAAGTTTAATCAATCAAGAAAGCACTATATATTTTAAGCATACATGAAGATAGGTACAAAATAACATGGATATTTTGGCCAAACAACAGTGAAGTCAATTAAGTGGGCAAAGTTCCTAGAAACACACCTTGGAATCTAGTTTCCTGTCGTTTTCTTTTCTGTTCAGTAAAATTGTTCAGCTTTCCCCTGGGATAGACAAGCATCAGGCTCCAAAGGAAGACCATTCCAATACACAAACCACTCATTTTTTAAATACTTACATGTCCGTTTTGATATGAGATTCAGCATCCTGCAACAGCGCTAATATATTAGCGGCAGCAGCTACCAGAATTTCAGACGATCTTTTGTTACTAAATGACTTCAGCTTAGTTTGAACACGAGCTAAAGCCACGGTAAATAGTTCTACAGCGCTGAGATTGGAGAAAGAAACTGTCAGAAACAACTGCATAGTGGTCTGAAAACACTTCGATTTCCCAGATTGTTCCAAAGGGAGGAAGCCTACCTGGCGAGGCCATCCTCGTAATTCTGTTTTGCATTCATTTGAAGCTTGCTAGTGCCTTGAGTGCCTGTTAATTTGTGTCGGGGCAAAAGTAAATTATAAGGAGATAAATCCAAGAAGGAGAATGCTGCAGGAACGAGTAAAGGTTTACCCAAATACTGATAACCTTCTAAAGACTCTGCCAGAGGACTACATCCGCTAACTTCAACATCTTTCTTGTGCCCTACACTTTTATTAGAACCAGGTTGAAATTCGCCCTGAACATAAATTTCAGGAGATAGCTGCTTCGACTCCGTACAACCTGCATGTGGATAGAATGGTATCCATATTTTGAACTGAAGAAGATAGCCCTGCTCAAGGAATGTACTGTCTAACCAAACCATGTCAATTGTAACTCATAACTACAGAAGATGCTATTATGATTTCTCTATACTACGAAAAGTGATTAAACAAAGAACAAACAACATTACATAGCCAGAAAATGAAAAGGAGGAGCCAAGATCAAGAGCATCATTACAATATTGCCCGCTTTATACGAGTTTAGATTCCAATAATTCATGTAATGAAGGAGAAATACTGTGGAAGTTACGCTGATTTGAATATAACTCTAGGCGATGATACAAACATCTTATTTGGTGTACCATATAGGCATATACGAATAAATATATATGCCAGCCTCTAGTTGCAAATGAAGTTTACTACACCTTCTTAAGCAGATCTAATTAACATGTAGAATGACGAGCGGAATAATCGAAGTATGGTATTAGTAGACAATCATGCATTTGAAGAAAACATCGTATATTATTTCTGAATGAAAAATAACATATATAAGTGAATCACAAAATACAGTTACCTTTCATAAGTGAATCATTTTCAGTGCTCTCATTGTCAGTTGCTTCAGCAGACGATTTGGAAACCCCGTTTTCACCATCTTCGATGATAAGGACTGGTTTTATATGGGGATTATTCTCTAACATGCATCCATGATCCTGAAAATATATTAAAGGAGAGCAAAATTTATATGATCATGGCGACAACTAACGTAATGATGACTGCCACCTAATATCAGAAAGATTAAGGATACAGATAATACCACTTGCACATTTGGTTCATCAGGTATTGAGCTCATCAGACTTTTGAAACTCCGGATGCCTTTTCTGTTTAATACTTTTTCACCAGAATTCTGAATCTTTGTCACATTTCGTTCTGGTAAACAGCCACATGACTTGGTCTCAAACAAAGATTTCGAAGGATTATGTATGGGATTTCTATTGTTCCCCAAGAAAGAGTGGCGCTTGTCTTCCTGTTGATTCTTCAAGTTTGTAACTGTAACATCAATTGGTTGCTCAACGTTCTTGAGCTTCTCAGTCATTACATCTATTGGAGACTCAGGTCTTTTTTTCTTAATACCGTTTTGTGGCTCAACAGATGCATCACTTATCCTCTTGCCGGATCTGTTGTTATTACAAATTTTCTGCACTTTTGGTTTCCCAACTGCTGGTACTGATCTGTTTTCATCTTGTGATTGCTGTTCCTCCTCCTCTGCATTTCCATGCTTACGACCTTGATGTATCTCACCTCCAGGAATCAACCTCCCAGTTTTGTTCCGCTTAAAAGGCAAAGAACAATCATTGAAATTAACAGAAAATCTTCCGGAACGATCTTCTTGTGGGAGCATTCTCTTCTCCGGACATTCTTTCTTAAGGCGAGTAGACTTTGGAGCAACAGCTTTGGAGCGCCGGCTTTTAGTGGATGCTCTATTCCGGATCAAAGAACGAGTCATTGATATTCTGGAAGTATGCATTTCCGAATCACTTTCAATTGTATCTGAATTTGGGTTTTCCTTTTCACTATGCCTCAGCTTTCCATCCATCTTATCCGGATGCATCTTTGTGGGCTGAAAGTCAGAATTGTCGGGTGAAGAAACATTCCCTAAGACCTCCCACAGCTTCATTCTCAATGTTTCACGTCCCCCAGTTTCTGTGTTCATAGTCTTATCCTCTGCATGTTCTTTTTCTAGCACAACTTCTGGTTCAGTTGAACACACAGGATTGTGAATGTGATCTGCATTAACCTTCCCAATCTCACCGGAATGTATCTCGGCACCAAGAATCTTCTCTATGCATTCATCTGATTCCAATCCAGCCGTGCCAGCCAAAAAATTGACAGAATGAGCAGCAGATGCTGTCTCCAATAACTTCGACCTGGGACGTGATCTGCCGGTGGCCAGGAGACTTGGAGTATGCTCGGTATAACGCACTGCAGCTGCAGAGGACATTTTTCGATTGAAAGATTTAGTGGAATTCCAAGGGAAGGTATCTGGCGCGGCAGCCCCATGTTTCTGCTCGACTGGCGCGTGTCGTTTACCGTCTTTGACACAATTCTCTTTGCTATAAGGTCCATCCTCTGCAACATATACTGATGTTTCCTTGATAACTTTAGGTTCAGCCAAGTTGATGGAATCAACCAGGACACCAATGGACATCTTTCTGGACTGACTGTGGAATTGGCAATTGCTGTCAAAACTCCGAATATCGCTCATTTGTGCCTGCCATGTGTAAATTACAGAAATCCAATCAGGTCCGTCCAGCAGCTCCAGCTTTAGAAACAAAGCAAACAAAACGAGCATGCACTATATATAATGAACTGAAACAATACATTTCATGACGGATTAAAAAGTTGGAACCCAAACCCTCACCTCCGGCATATTGGTCTGCCTATCAACATCCATTTTTACAGCTTCGATGAAGTTACTGATTCTGAGGGGAAAAATCGACCGAAATAGGAAGATCAGGTCGGGATGGGCCCTGAGGATTTGAAATACAGGAAACTGATTATCCAGTAAAAGAATATACGACGAACCATAAAAACAAGTAGAAACACTTGGGGATCTGTGTGCAAACTTCAGTGCGAGGAGGTACAGAGATGTGTGTTCTAGTTGGTTTCAGCAGAAAAAAGCCAAAAATAAATAAATAATCAACCACGAAACTTCCAAATCTCAGTGTACCTTGGATTATGAAAATCTCTTCCGTGGAGCTAGCCTTGCCGAAAATTTAAAGGACGAGCGTCGAACTTACGAGGGACGAGCTGCGGATAACAACAATTGAGAAAGAAAATGAATCAGAAGGTCAAATTTCCATAGACGATTACCACAGTGAGAAGTGAGATTAGAGAGACGGGGAAGGGTAGCATCTGTTTGCAAATGTATGTGGAAATAGCGATGGAGGGAAATGGAAAATTGGAAACGGCCCGCTTACTCCTGCTAAATATGATTTGGGACTTTGTGTTTATATGATTTGGGAATTTGGGTTTATTTGTTGTATATAGAAGGTTGGTTTCAGCCATAGTAAAACACATAATCATGCATATTATTATATATTAGTTAAAGCTTAAAATCATAAGTTTTATACTTATCGTATCTCTTAATACTAGTGTACTTACTAGCCGTGAACTGCACGGTGGGGTTTATTCTTCAAAACCTTTTTTCTAAATTTTATTTTAAATAATTTTTCTTAAAACTTAAATATTTGATTATAATGAAAAAAAAAAAAAAAGAGAACTACAAAGTATATAAAAAAATTATATATTATTAAACACTTCTCTATGCACAACATTCTTGGTTTGGTAAAAATTTAAGTATTTAATATTTTAAATTAAATATTATCTGATAAATAATCACTGTGGTCTTTTTATAGTGAAATTTATTTATGTTTCATTTGTTAATTAGATTAAGGCAAATATTCTTGGAGATTTAGATTATGCTTTTAATATTACATTTTTTCCTTTTTATTGGTAAGATTATAAAAAAAAAAATTCAATTTGTCCAATTATTAATTAGGAATGAAAATCATGCAAATTAGTTTTACTTTCTTAGGGTACTATTTTAAAATTTTAATAAGTTTAAACTACTATCAACTATAGTTTTGGAAAAACTTAAATTGTGCTACCTTGGAATCAGTTTTTAGCATTTATATGAAAAAAATAGGAATCGTAATCTAATATTTTATTTTTTGTAAATGAAATTTACTTTCCTACCTGTAGTAGACTTTTTTTAGAATTTTATTTTTGTCAAATTACTATCAATATGAGTTTCAACATCTTCAAATTATATTTATTTTAGGATTATTACATATCCGATTTTTAGTTGGTAAGATTATAAAAATTTTTAAAATTTCGATTGTTAATTAGGTATGAAAATCGTGCAAATGAGTTTTATTACACCTAAGGTATTGTTTTAGAATTTTAATAATGTTAAATTACTAGCAATTAGAATTTTATAAAAACCTTAAATTGTTCTACCTTATGTAATCATACTAGGGCATAGCCCGTGCGATGCACGGGACAGAGATATTAAATAATTAATTTTCATATAGAGTCCATAGAGCTTGTCCGTTATGTACCGATGCACGGGACAGAGATATTAATTGAATCATTTCCATAGAGCTTGTCCATTGAACCCTAAAAATAATGGAGTTGAATCATCTATTTTCCACTTATTTTCATTAGCGTCACTTTTTATTCGAAACGTTAAACATGAATCTGTTAGCGCTAGCCATAAACTAATTAATAAATTTGATTTTTGTATATATATTTATTCATTGATATAAGAAAAATAACAATTTTACTTATTCTTGTTCCTCGTATAAAATTGTGTAACATTATACAAAACATGTTGATTTGAAATTAGTACACAACCCGTACGGTGCATGTAGTTGATAATAAATTACATTATATTCATTTCAAAATAAGTGTCATTTTAAATTGTGTATTCATAAATTTGATTTGACTACAATGTGATTCAATAAAATAATTATTTTGGTAAAATTTTATCTTATATTTAAAAATTGATGTGATAATAAGTACAATTATAAAACTTAAGTTGTTCCATTTATTAAATTTTTTTATTTTTTTTTTTTTGTATAAACAATCCAAATCAAAAAATTTAATTAGTTGAGTAATTTATTAAACTATAAATAATTGACTGTGTCATTTACATCCAAGTTAATATTGACCTGTAAGTTATAAAGAATTACTTATTTGACTTTTAAATTTAGAATCTAAATTTAGACTACACAAAAAAATTCTTATAGAATTCACACACACACACACATACACGCACACACACACACACATATATATATTTATCTAGCAATTTTCTAGATTTGTTGTCGTTTACCTTATCTTTCAAATTTATAAAATAATTCTCTACAATTAAATTACAAATTTTAATTTTTATTAACCGATACTTGTTCAATGATCTTTTTGATTTTCAAGAGGAATACATACCAATTTGTCGAATTATCATCAATATTGTATCGCAAGTTATTAAGGGAATATGCTAAAATTTGAGAATCATATCACCTTGATTCTATAACAAATCAATCTAGAATTCTACTTTCATGCCCATACCAAGTAAAATTCATACCACTTATTTTGTTTTTAAAATTTCTAAATACACTTTTATCCTATAAAAAAAAGAAAAAATCATACCATTAAAATTCGGACATTTCATAGAAAAATAAATTCACCCACTTTATATCATAAATTTATACATTTATTAATAACAATACATTTGCTACAAAAATAAAAATGGTCATCACATACGTCAAATAAAATCGCCCACTTTATACCAAAACCGGATTTATTAATTTTGTCAATTTTATACCATAAATTGATTAATTAATTTCTAGAGGCGGATTTTTGATTTTTTTTTTTTAAATATTACCAAGTTTAATAATTTTATTTTTTTAAGCGAGATTTTGATTTCTATTTCAAGTAAATATAAATTATATACACACATATATATATTTAATAACGTAAACATAAAATTCATATGATCGAAATAATCTTCAACTCTTGTTGCACCTCTCATTCCAAATCTTCAATGTATTTTTTGAAAGTCCAATATCACACAAGAAAAATGAACTTTGTTTAAAAAAAAATAAAAAAATCTTCAATGCTATTAATATTAAATCATATGAAATGGATGTGATGTAACTACAAGTAAAATATACATAATTTAATAGAAGTGCAATTCAAATCTCAAAGTAACTACCAAAAAAAATAAAAATCCATATATTTTCAATTCAACTTTCTTCATAAAATATTGGGCATTAGAGTGATAATAAAATTTATTTATCTACACTATGCCACCTCATAATTAGGTGGAGTGTTAATATAATTTTGTATGGTTAATTAGTGTTTTTATGTGGACAGTGACCTCTCTTAACAAACGCCACATTTTTAGGCCACCATTTAATGCTGGCTGGTTTGAAGTAAGAAAAAAAAATCCTATAAATAGCATGTAATTAATGTTTCACCAGAATTTGACTTGCCATTTTTGAAAAATAGTAATTCTTATTATATATATAGATTTTAGCATTTATATTGAAAAAAAGATTAGAATCTAATATTTTATATACAAATGAAATTAACTTTCCTAACTGTAGTGGACTTAAATTGTGCTACCTTATGGATTTAAATGATAATTAGGATTAAAAATGATTTTTATTGTAATTATAAACCAAAAATGAACAAAAAAAAAAAATCATATAGATTTTTTCATATGTTTAATTGTATCTTATTATTGTCCAAATCGTATTTTTTATAATTGGTAATCTTTTGTTGAAATGCTAAATTCGTATTTTTTTATTGACAAAAAAAGAAATGTTTGAAATAAATTGATAGTTAAAATTTACAAAAAATCTGATTTTTTTATTGACAAGACGATCGGCTCTTAAAAAAATAAATAGCATAAATATATCCAATAGACACAAAATTAGGTCCGATTTTGTTTTCAAACTGACCCAATGCTTACATTTTAAATTTTCAAAAAAAATGAAGTTGATATCACAGAGGCGGGATTTTTTCAAATTTTGGCAAAAAAGATTATTCAATTTAGTAAATATTTTAGGCGAAAAACCAAATGTATTTTTGCTGATTTTTAGTTACTATTTCAGATAAATATCATTGTCTCTTTATATATTAATGGATTTATAAATTAAAAATTCTCATTAAATAATATTTATAAAATTAAAAATATGAAATCAATATGTAATGCAATTTACATATATGAATTTATTGAAAATGTTATATAAAATTAAATTGTGCAAAATTACATAAAAATGTCTTTAAAATTAGTACAACCCATGCGGTGCACATAACTGATGATATGTTACATTGTACTCATTTCAAAATAAGTGTATTCAGAATTTCGAGTTGACTATAATGCGATTCCATAAAGTAATTATTTTGGTAAAATTTTATCATATATTTAAAAACCTATGTGAATAATAGGTATAAATATAAAACTTATATTGTTTCATTAATTAAAATGAATTTATTTTTGTATAAACTATCTAAATAAAAATATTTAAGTAGTTGAGTAATTTATTAAACTATAACTAATTAACTATTTCATTTATGTCCAAGTTAATATTGACTTGTAAGTTATGAATAATTGTTTATTTGATTTTGAATTTAAAATATAAATCCTTTTTTTCGTGTCATTATATTATATACCAAATTTAAACCATGGAACTAATAAAGGTAATAGCACAAGTCTTGTCCATATATTATATACTAACTTAAACTATGCAACTAATA